CACTATTACTTACCCGGTGATCCCAGTAGACGCCAGCAATATTTCTAAGGCATCTGTGGTCAAATACCAGTAGCTTACGAGTGTCTTCTACTCTTAAGGGCCATGTTTCGCTGCCATAAATTAAAACAGAACGAACTGCCGCGCAGTATACTCGTCCTTTTATTGATAGACGGATATCTCGCCTTCGCCAAAGGTGACGTAAGTTGGAAAAAGCCAAACGAGCTTTTCGAATCCGTGCTGAGATTTCGTCAGATACCAACCCATTAGGGCTGATCAGACTTCCAAGATAAGTGAAGTTATCAACGCGTTCGACTACTTCACTCCCTATCCATAGTTCAGGTGTTGACGCAGACCAGTTCTGAAGCAACAACTCGCATTTAGAGGGAGAGAAGCGCATTCCAAACATACTGGCATTGTTGCTTAGTGCTACCAGAAGACTGTATTTTATCAGCGTCTTCGCCAAACAGGACTAAATCATCTGCGTATTCTAAGTCGATAAGTTGACGTCCTGGAAGGAGATCAATAACTGAAAATTCAAACGACGAGAACGTTATTTTCAGCAGTAGGTCTACGATGAAATTAAACAAAAATGGGGAAAGTGGACAGCCTTGACGGACACCACTTGAGGATGCAAAAGTAGATGACAGTTCGCCATAAGCTCTGACTCGACTAGTAGTGTTCGAGTAAAGAGCCTTTACAAGGTTTATGTACTTCTGATGTACGCCTTTCAATGACAGACACTGCCACAGAATCTCGCGGTCTACCGAGTCAAATGCTGCTTTTAAGTCAACAAAATCTATCATTGTCGGACGCCGATAAGCATTCCTGTGTTCTAGAACCTGACGAATAGTGATTATGTGGTCGATGCAGCCACGACCAGGTCTGAGGTCAGCCTGTTTTTCTCATATTTGCAGTTCACGAGTCTTTGTTAAGCGTCCGATAATTATTGAGGTTAGTATTTTAGATGCTATATTAGTCAAACTAATCCCTCTATGGTTGTCACAGGATGATTTTAACCCTCTCTTATATATTGGGACGATAAGTGATTGTGACCAGTTAGATGGGATAACGTCTAACTCTCAGATCTTAGCTAAAATATTAGTCAACCTAATCGCTAAAATTGGACCACCATCCTTAAAGACCTCTGGAGCCAACCCATCTGGACCAGCTGCCCTTCCTCGTTTCAGATTAACTATAGTCTTTTGAACTTCAACAAGAGTTGGGGGACCTACTTCAATGTTCCATTCGCACTGTCTGGGGATGGAGGGTAGTTGTAGAGTAGCTGAAGGCCAGCTGAACTGTTCTCTGAAATGTTCCGCCCATCGTTCTAAACGTCTGGACTGAGAGCAGATGAGAGTGTCGTCTTTTTCCGAAATAGTCTGACTTACATTTGACTTATTAATTCCAGTTTTTTATTAGTCTGTTTAGCTGTCTTGTGTTCTCTATAGTCGCCGCCTTTTCCATCTCTTTTACTTTCGTTGCCCACCACTGCTCATGGTTGTTCCTTGGACTTTTTCTTAACCTAGATCTGATTTGTTGTCGCTCTTCATCGTGTTCAGAGCCTGATGGGATGAGTTTACGAGAATCCATCAGTGCAATAGACCTTGAAGAAATCCATTGGTTCTTTGTAACCCTGTGGTTTAAATCACTGACAGATTTCACTGCTGTTTCCACAGCTGTTTGTATAGCTTTCCAAACAACATCTGGGTCAACCTCGTTTTCAGAACTACCTAATTGTGACATCAGTTGTTCCTGGAACCTACTTTTGGTTTTTTCGCTACTCAATTCAGTTCTAATGGGTCTTTTTACCGTGGCTTTTTTGCGTCCAGTGAGGCGCAAGCAGATGCGTGCCCGTATTAGGGCGTGGTCGGAGTCCAAGCAGGTGCTCCAGAATGAGCGACAATCTTGAGTGCTGTTAGAGGTATGAAGGCGGTTATCACTTCCCGGTTGCCCACACCGTGGAAGGGTTGTTCTGGAGGTACCTGAAAAGGAAACTGGATTAGAGGTGGTCTTAGTGACCTGGGATCGTGACCGCAATGCCCAAGGGACAACTGCTTGAGGTCGGTCACACACGACCTCTTTATGGGTAATTTTTGTGTTAGCTCCGTACTTGTTGAGACCTTACCGCCGGAGACGGATATTCGTGGGATAAGGCGAAGTGTGCATTTTTAGGGTCGACCTTTCCTAACCCTACCCCTCCTTGTGGGAAGGCAGCATCGCTGTCATGCTGGTTGTCTGAAGGAAACACCTTACTGCTGTCACACCTCTGTACAGTCAGCAGTAAGACTTCGCCTTCGGCTTGTTGCTTTTAGTCTTACCGCTCTTCAACCGACCTGTCTGACAAGGTAGGACCTTGAGGAACGGTTGTTCCAGCCAGTATAGCTCGGTTGCTTCATCACGATAGGCAAGCCCGACCACCACGTCAAGGTAGCAACAACGGTCAGCATTGAAAGAGTTGACTGATCCGACTCATCAACAATAGATTTAGAATAAATACTGCTTAATAAAGTGAATAATTTCCAACAACATAATGATCAACAGGGAACCACGAAAATAAATACATATGGCGTTTGACTTCTCTACACGTGTCAGGCTACCGTCTACTGCAGTTTATGAAGCTAGCAGAAATAGAATTACATTTTAAAAAGATCTATATTCCGCTAAAACAAAGCAAATGATTTAGGTGACATACCATGGTCATTATTTAAATCGAATTTTTAAAAATCAATCCTGATGGCTATTGAGGACAACAACTAACATTCGGTGATTGATAAGTGATTATCACTACAACTCTTGAATAGACCAGCTCTACTGAATCCACCAGACATTGGAAGCAGCACACACAGACCTTCTTTTATATGTCACTCCACGAACAGTCGAAGAAATCAGGATAGTCATCGGACAAATCAATAGTGACAATATGCCAGATGAAGCTCTGAATTCAGACATGCACTTAACTTCAAGTCTGCTTCACATTCTATTCAGGAAGATCTGGGGGGGGGAACAAGTGCCGATGGACTGGAAAGAAGGATGCTTCATTAAGATACCAAAGGGAGATCTGAGCAGACGTGAGAACTACAAAGGAATCACACTACTATAAATACCAGGAAACGCTATCAAAGGAGAGCTGTTGAACCGATGGAAGATTCAGTAGACGCCCAACGTCCAGATCAACAGGCTGGAATCCGTGCACAAACCAAATCGTGACACTACGGATTATTGTTGAACAATGGATTGGATGAAGCTCATCCTTATACATCAACTTCGTTCTTTATGAGAAAGCATCTAAGAGTGTGGATAGAACAACATTATAGAACCTTCTTCGACACTATGGTGTTGCTGAGGTCATTAGCATCATACGGGATTCGTAACACAGACTACATTGCAAAGTCGTGGATGGAGGACAACTCACAGACTCATTCGAAGTGACGACTGGAGTCAGACAAGACTGATCACTGTCTCTCGCTCTTTCTCTTTCTTCAGGTGGTTCGTTGGATCACTAAGACCTCTACATCTCAGGGGAAGCACGAAATACAGTGGACAGCTTGAATGGAGCTCGACGATTTGGAATTGGCTGTTCTATCATATACACACGAACAAATGCAGATCAAGACAACCAGTATAGCAAAAGCTTCTACATCAGTAGGCCTCAACATACACAAAGGAAAAAGCAACATCCTCTAATACAATACGAAGAACACCAATCAAATCACACTTGATGGAGAAGCTCTGGAAACGTCCAACTACCTGCTCAGTATCAGCGATGAACACGTGTAAGATCCATTTTGAATGCTTTGTGTGTTTGTGAAAATCCCTCCATTTTTATACTTGCACTTTGTTCCTATTGATCCTCTTAGTTGTACATTGTTAACTTTTTGGCTACATTTGAATTGTTAATATTTGTATTTTATTATAGTTTTCGTTTTTACTACACCTTCACTAATTCCCCATGTTTCCTCCCGAACTGCACTTATGTTGTTTTACTTTATACTAAGTCTGGGCGGCAGCCATTTTTGGTTGGTTCCTGCTTTTGATTGCTTGACCTGTGTTGACTGGAATTGTGCATTTTGGTTGTGAATTGAAGCACTCTTCCAGAATTGAAAACACTCTGTGTTATAGAGCGACCAATTAATACCTTTTGAACGAATCTGTACGTGATCTATCCAGACAGGATAGAATAACATTTATTTGTGGTGATTGTTTAGATTTGATCAATTGAACAATTATTGGTTGGATAGCTAAGTGGTTATATTTGTTTAGAACCGCTATCATACCCAATTACTTTGTTTTGGTTTCAAACGGGCGAGGGCGCGTATCTAATTCATTCAGGCAGCTGTCCAACCGTCCAAACGTAGTTTGGATATTACACACGGACGATCTGATGCAGACGTAAAGGCGAGGATAGGAAAAGCAAGAGCAGCATTTCTACGATTGAAGAACATATGGATATCAAAACAACTGTCAACCAATTGCAAAGTCATAATCTTCAATACGAATGTTAAGACAGTTCTACTGTATGGAGCTGAAACGTGGAGAACTAATACAACCATAATCAAAAGTGCACAAGTATTAACAAACCGTTTACTACATAAGATACTTAATCTTCGTTGACCGGAAACCATCAGCAACAGCCTAGTATTGGGGGAGAGCAAACGAGCTCGCAGCTGAGGAGGAAATTAGGAAACGATGATGGAAGTGGATAAGACACACATTGAGGAAATCATCAAAGTGCATCATGATACAAGCGCTAACTTGGAATCCTGAAAGGATGAGGAAAAGAAAAATGCCGAAGAACACACTACGTCGGGAATCGGAAGCATACAAGAAAATAATGAATAGCAGCTGGAAAGGATTGCCCAGGACAGAATCGGATGGAGTGCTGGTAGGCCGCCTATGATCCTCCACGAGGGATAACAGGCGTAAGTAATGAAGAAACAGTAGGAATTGAGTTTTTTTGCATCACTAGCCTGAGTTATTATTTTTTTTAAAACAACAACATTCAAATGGTAGAAAAGAGCTCTATAATTATACAAATTAAGAATGAAGAATAGCAAAACGAAAGTTATCAAATAGACAGTATATCCATTAGTACAAAAAAGGCACATAAATGATAAGATGTTTTTAAAATATGAAAAAAGAGAATTAAAAAAATAACCTGAAAGAGGAAAGACCAAATCTACTCTTTACAAGCCTGAATTGATGCATTTAATTAAAAACTTATAATTGTTATGTAATAAGACAAGATATTTATTGTTTGAAAAAAACATACCAAAAATAGGAAAACAAGTTAATTACTTCTCTAGCTTCAGTTTAAAATCAAATGGATAATATGAAAAAAAATAGGTTCATTTCGAGAAAGGAATTCTCACTAAATCATTGCATAATGAATAAACTAAACTGTATAACATTTTAAGCTAACTAATTGTTATAAGGAAAATTATAAATTACTGAAATTAATACCAAGTTGATTAAAAAGATTAAGGAACATGATATAACTATTCTTTAGAATGTTGGTCTTTGTATACCTGTCACATATGTGTATACATAAACTAGATTCCATTTTATTCTGTCAATGAAAAAGCAAAAATTTGATTTTATATATATATATAGATAGATATAGGAGTACCGGGATTTGGCACACAAGAAGCAATATGGGTTATCTTAAAAGTAGTGTATAATACTTTTATCAAAAGTTAGTAACATTTGTCAAAGTTGGATTCATCATCTACCAGACGATTTCCCACGAGATGAACCAAACGATGGTACTGCTGGCTTTCGAATGGTGGAAGTACTTCCCGAAGTACCAGATGGTAAACTGATTTTAGAAGGCACTGGTCTTAGTTGTACAGTTGATGATTTAGGAAGGGACTTTGTAGAATTGGATGTCTGGTTTGTTTTGATATTGTTAGAAGAAACACTACTACCACTACTATGAATGCTGCTATTAGAGGATGGGTTATTTCTGAGTGAAGGTTGAGTTTTGTTTATTGGACGATCAGAAGAACCTTGTTCAGGTCCAGTTATACTAGATTTACGAGAACCAACACGACTACTTATGCTCATTGAAGGCATTTTTTGAGATAACATTGGAAGACGAGAAATACTTCCATTAGGAAGAGGGATCGATATTTTTGAAGGAATTTTTAAACCTGATTGTCTACTTGGTATTGTTTTGTTGTTGTTTGCTGGTTTGGTAACAGATCGGGTTGCCTGGGGACTTTGTAGGTATTTGACATTTGATGCAGAATCTGACAAACGGGGTATACTTCGTTCAAGACCCGGTTCACTTTTAGATACACTATTTTTACCCGATTTTGTATCTTCATCATGTTTCGTAGGTAACGCAGAATCTGAATTGTTTTCCAACACAGTAACATAACTGCTTAACTCATAAGTATCAGGCTGCTGTTCATTTTTCTTAGGTTTCATCATTTCAACATTTGGATGAGATATATGTGCTACACTGTTGCTTTCTTGTGTGGTACAATCATTTATGGTATTTACAGTACTATCTATACTGTCTATAATGGGTCTGAGATTTTTTAATTCATTCGTTTGTGATGTTGAATCACAGTCATATACGCGCTTGAAGTCTGGAGCATCGTATGTAGAATTTAATGGTTTAGAGGGTAAAGTCACAACATCTGTTTGATCCAAATTTGTACTCGAATGCACCTCCGCAATCATATTGACTTTAAGTTCACAATCAACTGAACTTGATAATGGGTTAAAACATTCCTTCGCTATAATAGTATGTTGACGCTCTGGCCTATCATTTGTATCTACGATTGCAATTTCTTCGTGACTGTGTGTTGCGCTAACCCCACAAGAACTTAAACCACTGCCTGATTTTTGCCCAAAACTACCAGCGGCACTACCTTTATGTTTACGATGTTTCTCATCTCCAAAACTCGACTCAGTAAGTGAAGTGTTGGAACAATCTAATTTACTTCTACTACCACTGTGTTCACGTAAGTGAGTTTCCTGGAGACGAGCTAATTCAAATACATCTGAGCTTCGCATACTAGAGTAAGATGCGTTAAATTTCTCAGAAATTTTGCGACCTTTTGTAACTAATTCAGTTGCAGAATGCGACTGAGATATTTGGTTAACTCCAGATGAGATATCTAAACTTCTAGTTACATCTATATCACCTTCATTATCCGATATGGGCAGAGAAGTGGTTAATGCATGAGATCTAAAAAATAGGGAAGGTACCTTAGGAACTGACTCATTGAGAGGGTAGTCATTTACCTCCTTCAGTAAATCCATTTGCTCCTTCGAGTAGGTCCGTGAAAGAACGGATTGTTTTTGACTACAAGGCTTTTGATATGGGCTACTAGTAGCGCCTGGAACAAGCAAAGTGTCATTAGGCTTTGACGAAATTCTGCGGTTACTAATATTAGGTGAAACATTATTATTCGGAGTCGCATGAGGAGAAACAGGTCGTTGAGATCTGTGTAACTGAGGTAATCCTGAATACACGGCTTGGGAGAAAGGTGGTTTGGGTTTTTCGCAATACATAGCACTATCAACTTCTTGAGCTCTAGCATCAAAGACTTCACGTAAAGGTACCTTTTTATTGTTATTTTGTTTACGTAAAGCATATGTACCCTGTAAATTAGAATACTCTCCAATTGAGCTGTTTAAACTGCGGCGGAGATCTAACTGAGGGTCAATGTTCTGTATATCGCGATTTGGATGTGACAGAAAAATTTTAAAATCCATAGAACCATTCACAGACAGCGTTGAATGGTATATTTGGCGATCACTATCATTTAATCCTACTTCATTAGGCGAATGTTTCCTCAGTGAGGCCTCTTCGATTAACCCTTTGATTTTCGCCAACTCATTTAATCGGTTCAAAAGATGATAGGAATTATTACAGAATTCTGGATCTCGATCAAATGGCGTACGATACCAAATTTTGCAACTGGCTTCAATATCTAAAATAGCACCTTCATCTCTGTTTCCATTTGAGTCTACTTCAATTGGACTACGTGATGGGTCTATCCACCAGTCGCCTCCACCACCTAGTCCCAGATGAGCTTCCAAAACATTCAAATTTTCTTTATTTAAAACAGCAGGTAAAAGAAGCTCAAATGCATCATTGCAATTCTCTACTGATTGATCTTCTTCAATAACTAACGATGATGGTGCATTGATCGAAGATAAAACAATTTTGGTTTCTTCAGAGAATGCAAGATTTGATTGCATTTAAGTTCTAAAATGATCATATAAACAAAAACGAAGCAAATTAATCGAACGAAGTAATTACACAGTCCACTAGCCATATAAACTATGGGACAAATACGCATCGACCCAAGTTGTGTAACTACATCAGTGTGTTGGAATGAAAATAAAATGAAAAACCAGGAAACCGGAATAAAATTTATACAAATGACAACAAAAGTAACTAAACGTAAAGTATGTGGTGAGAAACAAAGAGATGAAATAGCACACACATTAAAAATGGTTTTAATAATAAACTCACAGATGTCACTACGACTAATTCCCGGCAGTTACCTATTTAAGTCTGTACATTAATCATGCGCAACATAGAACCTGGGATGTGTGTATATCAGTTAAAGTTGTCACGCCTCATCAGCACAGCGATATGAAATTCTAGAGTAGAAGAGATAATAACATTATTGGTGGAAAAAGAAAAGATCAGATATTAAAGAGCCAATTCGAGAAAATACAAATAAGCGAAAAAGAAAATCATAAGGAATTGAGAAACTTATGGTCTAAGGGAAAATGAAGAGTAAATACACAAGCACTGTTATGAGTGATTCTAAGCCATCTCATCCCAAATCTCCAACCACTGATTTCAATAGTCACGTAGACCCTAACCAGGTAGTCCTCACCTATCCACATGGCTTAGTCCAACAGTCAGTGATTTTATGGACTGATGCTATGTCTTGATCTGGCTTTTTTCCAGACTACTCCTACACAATTGTCATTGCACTGTTGAGGCAGTCGGTGGATGAGGATACGTACAGTACTTCAGTACATAAACATTCACTGTCCCATCAGTCGATTTACCATACATGCCTAGTAATCTGGGCCTAACCTCAGAATCGCTAACTTGATGGTTTTAAAATACACGAGCAATAGTTCGAAGATATTTATGATCGAATATTAATAACCTACAAATATCCTAGGTTTTTAAAGGGAGATTGAACTGCTGAACAGTTAATTCATCCTGACTGAGAGGTGGATACTTCGCCCAAGGCACAAGCGATCCAAGTTGATAGAAACCAACCGAATTTTCTGCATTCTTTACGAGATTTCGACGGACACCAACTCACTAGGGCTGATGAAAATTCCAGGATAAGAGAAGTGATCGACAAGGCCAACTACTCCAATCCTGATCATTAACTCAAGCATTAAAGCAGACCATTCCTGAAGCAACGTCCTGCGTTTAAAGAAAGAACCCATCTTAGACAAGTTTGGATTGTTGCTGAGGGTGATTAAAAGACTATTGCCTTCGGTATTTACCCAAACTGAACTGTATGATTTGCATATCTCAAGTTAATAAGTGGATCTCTTTGTAGGGTATCAATCTCCAAAAAGTTAGATGATGAAAGCTGCATTCCTAAGAGAATATCTACGACAAACTTAAACAAAAACGGAGAACATTAACAACTCTGATGAACACCACTTGGAGTCATCAGTTGTAATGGCAGTTTGCTACAATATCTGACTCGACAGGTGGCGTTCGAATGGAAAGCCTGCACAGAGCTAACATATTACTTTGATGCGTTCTTAAATGACAGATAATGGAGTAAAACTTATCGATCTATGAAGTCCAGTGTTGCTTTAAGGTCGAGGAATGCAACCGTGGTTGGGAGTCTGAATAATGTTTGTGCTCTAAAACCTAATGCAAGGTGAATTATTTGATCTACACATCTACGTCTAACTTTGAAACCAGACTGCTTTTCCCAAGGTTTAGTTAACCATAGAGCAATTATTGAAGTTACTAACTAAACTGATTCTTCAATGGTTGTCACAAGAGGATTTTTGTCTTTCGTTGTAGACTGAAACGATTAGTGGTGTAAAGCAGTCAAATAAGATTAGATCTAGTTCTCAGACTCTAGCTGATATCTCAATCTAACAGCTAAAACTAAACCCCAGTCCTTAAAAATCTCGGGAGTTAATCTATAAGAGCCTTCTGCTCCACTTGGCTTTAGATTTAGTCATGGTTTTTCTACTTCATAAAGATATAAAGAGCTTATGTAAACATTTCATTCAGGTTGTTTAGTAAAGGTAGGCAACTGAAGAGTAGTTGATGAGCAGTTAAATTGTTCTCGAAATTGTTTTTCCTATGGTTTCAGTATCCTGAGCTGAGAACGGATCCTAGTATCATCTTTTCCAAAAATAATCTTAATGAATCCCGAATTTCTATTACCCCTTTATCTGATAATTCTGAAACGTTATCACGGCTGACTTTCTTTACCGCCTTTGTCTTAGCTATCTATCACTACTGATGATCATTGCGTATATCTTTTATTAGTCTAAGTTTAAATTGCCTTTACTCCTTATCGTGTTCGAAGCCTAAAGGGAGGAGTTTCCAAGCACCGACCACTCCAGTAAACGCTGTTGAAACCGACTGACTTCCTAACCTTTCGGTTGTAGTTACTGATATATATCACTGCTATTCTCACTGCTGTCCTGATATCATGCCAACTTAGATCGGAGTGAACATCACTTTGACGATTGACTAACTGCTTTTTTAAGTGTTAATGATAAGCTTTTGACTTTTTTGTGGTTTAAGTGAGCTTGAAAGGATTTTCTTTTTGTGCCTTTTCTATGTTTAGTAAGACACAGACGAATACGTCTAAACATGTGCCCCAGAAGGAGGAACAAACTCCTATGGAGTCTTTCCATCGATGGCTGATGTTGATATGGTCTATTTGCGTCTATCGTTGAGTTAATTGTAGAGATCACCATATCAAACGATATCTCTATTTATGCTTACATTTGGTGCTTGTTAAGAATAAACGGTTGTCTATGCATAGTTGCAGCAGTTGGTCGACATCATCTGTTCGTTCAACTGGATCACCGTAAGACTCGCCTAAGTGTCTTTCTGATTTAAACTACCTACTTAGGCGTTAAAATCTCTTTCTGTAATTACGACATGCGAGTGTTAGACTTTTTATACTGGTTTTTAAAAAAAACTTATCCTTCGCTTCATCCGAACTGTAATCAGTTAGAGCGTAGATACAGACGACAAAGAAGCAACGGCGTGTGTTCCTATTTTTATGCGTTCTTAATTCTCCATTTGATGGGACAGCACACAAGTGACTATCTATTGAGATTCAATCTACGAGAACTCGTTCAGCTTTGAACTTAGTGCTGCGCTTACACCAGTGAGGTTACGAGAGGTAGCAATCAAGACTTTAGATACATGTAGGGTAAATCGTGCTGGTTTTCCGTAATAGCTAAGTGAGGTCAAATAAATGACTACACCTGGATCTTATATATATATATATGCAAGGCACAACATACACCTATGGCACGGTATCCTGAAATCTTTGCTAAGGACGCCTGCTGGTCTAGTTGAAATAAGGTAGGAACATTGAAAGCTCCAATGTGTATTACACAGTGCGGTTTCAGGAGGCCAGGAATAACATCTCGCGAACTCGAATAGTTGGCGATGATGGCGCATGAAGATAAAGTTATAGGAAAAAGGTTGGTTTAGGAGATGGAAGGAATATTAAGAGGCAGCGAAGGGAGTTGATAATGAACAAGAGGATTTTAATTACTGTTAGAGGTGTGATGGCGGTCTTCACTTCCCAGTTCCTTACACTATGGAATGATATTTCTTCCTGAGGTATCTGGAAAGGAAACTAGATTAGTAGTGGTCATAGCAAACTGATACAAAAAATAATTGATATTTAAATCTACCCTGCTAAGAAACCGATGAAACATTTGGATTTCAACTGCGTGGTGCTATCTAGGCTTTAACAACTCATTGTGAATATGTTATTTCACTAACCACAATGAAGAGATATTTATAAACATACTCTAAGTATAACTTCTAATGTTGGAAAATGTTGTGTCAACGAGTGAGAATACGATAATACGATTAGCCTTACTAGTTATACAGAACAATTAGTAAAAGCAACAGACATGAAGTTACGAGATTTAATAATAGATATTTTAAAGGAGGACCAATTTCTAATGTATTACACGGAACAAAAATTTTCAGTGTTAGATGTTGACAATTTTAAAGGCTGGAAACTTGAAATTTTCAAAATAAGTAAAGTGCACGATGTGCGTCTTTAACTATAATTCACCTCAATGAGGAATAAAAGAAATTAAGTAGTTATATGAAGACTTCGAGGATAATAACATAGTACCAGTCCATGAAGCTATCGACTTTCAAACTACATCAAAATCATCCACCAGAGCTACAAATCTCCACCATCTCACTTTCAAACTAAGCTATATCAGTTGGTATTTACTTGCTGTTGTAACGTGAGAAATACTTTTAATTAATAGTTAGAGACACTAAGCGATATAACGCAAAATTTGTCGTAGTCGCATCTACTATACAATCTCAGTTAGTTCCTAGTTGTTCATTTCACTTATGCCGCTTGAACCGTGTTTCTCACGACTGCATTTGTATAGCAGTTCAAGCTAATCTCTTTGTTTTGATTTTCACTTAGTTAATTTTCTTTCTCATTGTGCTAGTTAGGTGTTATTACTTGGGTCGATATGTATTTGTGACAGGTTCTACGTTGGTTTACCAACATGAGAATTTCAAAATATCCCATTAGATTTCTAGCAACTAATTGAGGTAATCTAGGCAGATCTAGGTGTTTCAGTTTAATACCCTTAGATATATGAAAGTGATTATAGTCTTGATTTTATAGATCAGCGTGGTTAGTACTGGATTAGAAGCAATCATTATATAGTTACTGTTTAGCGATTTCTTATTTAGTATTAACCTGTTGTTATTTCGACATGTCCATCAGTAATACTCCACCACAGTCTTTATAACGGAAAACGACGGTAATGAGAAATATAGAGAGGTCTCGGCATAGTTTGTAGCAATCCTTTATTAGAACGCGTCAGATATTGTTCCATATATTCAGGAGGCTTTGATAACTCAGCCGATGAGTAACCTTTGAGTTAACTTTATTTTCCTGCTAATTAAATTATTTTTATAAGTAATCCAGACCTTCATTACATGTGCCTTATTATTGGGACCCTTTTTAATTCTGGACTTGTAAGCTATATACATGCTCGCATGTCTGTAACTGTCTACAGAGTCTCCTTAATCACGTTATCCATTGTTTGATTCGATATGGATTAATCCTTGTACCGCCCCCAAACGCCCTGGTATGGCTGAGAGTGGGGTGGGGGTGTTGTTTACTAAAATGAGAGAACGAAAAGCGAATGTTCGGCGCTTTAACCGGATTTCATACCAATGGTGCACATGGGCTCCAGTATCCTGGGGGAACAAATGGCGTATGAACCAATCGTTAGTCACCGGCTACCATGGGACTGCATCTCCTCACGATGCTCCACTGCCTTGTGGGTCAGACCTTTAGGTCAAAGGCTCGTGGTGTGGCCCCCTAAGAAAACCACCTGTTTCCGTCAAACACCCGGACAGTATCACAGCCCACACACAAATAAAATGAAAAGGATGATATTTACTGAAAATTCTGTTCTACCTTCCCGTTTCCACCATTATTATTATTACACTACCTTACACTAATCTGGTAGTTATTGTTCTTCTTTTTTTTCTTTTGTGCTCCTTACCTTCTTTTTTCTCTTGCCAATCTCATTGTTTGTGTGGCGCATATATATTTGGTGCCCTCTCGTACCAATATTTATGTGTTCAAATAAATAAATAAATAAATAATCCTTGTACCGGGTATCGCTTTGAGTAGGGTAGGTTTTACCTTAGTTAATTTGTGTCTCTATATGCCTGGATTAACGGACGCAGGAAATATGTTTTCAAAGCGCTCTCAAACTCGCCGATTATATTTCCTTATTCGATAAAGTGATTGTGTGGATGAATATAAGTATGGTTAATCATGGACACATATTTCGACGTTCCTCATGATACCAGCTGAAAACAGCTAAGGGAATTAAAAATCTGAAAAAATAAGGACTTCGAATGTAAGTCCTTTCGATATGAATAAGTTTCATATCGATAAGTAAAGCCAAATTCGCCTGTAGATCTTCTAGGGTTACTGCCGGTCCTAAACCCACACAAAGGAGGATGGTTGAGCATGAGGTCAGCAACCCTATCTCGTAGAAAACAACCTTGCTGAAAAGACGCTAACAAGAATAAACAAATCAAATCGTTTAAGCTCTGTACTCTGAGTTGAACGATCTTCGTTCAGAAGAAATATGACGCCTTGTGGTGAAAGCCCAGATTCATAAGATCGATGCCCCTTCTAACAACCAGAGCAACAATTAATATAGGTATATAGAATTTTCGAACAATGTGGGAGATCGGATGGAATAATCAAATAGCTGTGGAAATGAGAGGAAACAATATGGCGGTTCTCGGAATAAGTGAAAACCACATGACCCAAACTGGACAGAAAAGATTAGATTCCAGAGAGATGCTGCCGCATTCTGATCACGAAGAAAAAACTCCTCACACTTAGGGAATCACACGGATGCTGTCCAAAAAAGCACGGAAGGAACCTGTTGGGTGGGGGAATCTCATGGACGCAGGATCATCAAAGCATTCTTTAAAACGGGGAGGAAGAAGGCGATGACAATGCATGTTATCCAATGTTATGATAGCAACGACAACGATCGGTTTTATGAGAGGCTACAATCAATCATAGCGAAGTGCCCGAGATAGGATCTAACCATACGGATGGGAGACCTAAACTCCAGTCACAATATACAACGACGAGTATGTGGATATCATGGGACAACATGGACTGACTAAGAGAAAGAAACAAAAATGGTGAGAAATTCGCAAATCTATGTGCATTCAACATATCGGTTACATGCGGCACAATATTCCACCACAAACACATACACAAAGCCGTATGGGTCTCACCGGATCACACTACACAGAACCAGATCCATCATATTCACATCATTGGAAAATCAGACGGTCAGTGGAAGAGGTGTGAACCAAGAAAGGATCTGACATAGCTTCGGATCACCACCTGGTGGTTGCCAACATGAAACTGAATCTAAGAGAGCACTTGACAACTGGAGAAACAATATTACGAAGGCTCAATACAGCCTTCCTTCGACACAACGACAAAACTCAATGAATTCAAGATAACTATCAACAACATGTAACAAACCATACAGGATCTAGTGAAAGAAGAGACTACCATGGAGAACGATTGGAAAGGGGCTAAAGAAGTACTAACTTCAAAGTATCAGGTGCTGCGCTGCATCAGGCATCATCATAAGGAATGGATCTCTATCGAAACCCTGCACAAGATTCGAGAGAGGAAGAACAAGAAGACAGAAATTAACAACAGTCGAAAAAGAACAGAGAAAGTCAAGGCACAGACGGCATAAACAGAAACAAACAAGCAAGTGGAGAAGACCACTAGTGCAGAAATATGTGGGAGATCGAGCAACGACAGAGGAAAGGTTTCAGGAGAAGGAAGTATGAGACAGCTATATGACAAAACGAAGAAACTGGCAGGAAATGTGGTAAAGGAGAGAGAAAAGTCAGGGACAAAGAAGGTAAGAAAATCAACGAGACTCAAGAACAGAGGAAAAGATGGGTAGAACACTCCGAGGCTTTTTTTGGGCAGACCAGCTCCATTGGATCCACC